GGCTTTGTGACAGATATATTCATTCTTCTCTATTGCATCACCTTTTCTTTTTGTGTGGCATATTTCAGCCCATGGTCTTCCAATCCATACAAAGACTGCGCTGAAAAGAATGTGTTGGGTGGTCTGTCACTTGAAGGGTTTCTCTCAAAGGTATTTTGTCTCATCCGTAGCTATGATGCACAACTAATAAACTGGTGGTTAAATGGGAAAATCTTATTTGTGAACAAACATATTTGTTGTGGATCCAAAAACAACCTACTTCTATTATGTTTGTTTGGTGCATTCTTATGCACCATTTACTCAGCTGCCTTTGTTGCTTGGAGAAGGACCAACCAAATCTTGTGTCTATGTGGTGAATAACTTGACATGTTCAATATGCAAGCTGCTGATGTAATTAAATTATTTGCTAAACATTTTATAAAAATATGTAGGCTAAAGCATAATCAATCAAATTCTAAGTTGAAATGGTGTGCTCTGTTAATGGTGTTATTTCTTGAAAGAACAAAGTATGAAAATCATGTGCTACAGAATGCTGGCAGCATGGCAATGCATTTTTCTGTTAATACGTTATTTTATATCATGCTATATTGCATTATATTTTGCTATTGCTGAATAAGGATTTTGCGATGTAGTGGGCTCTAATGACACTTCTAGATCCAACAAATAGTTATGCCAACCTTGTATATGTTGGCTATCCTGGCGAGTTCAGTTCTGCATTTACTGTCACAAGGAAAAGACGAGTGGATCGTAAAAAGCAACAGACACACAGAAATGTTTTCCAGTGTTACGTTTTCGGCGCCAGAGGCTCTGGAAAGACGTCGTTGCTACAATCGTTCATTGGAAAGTATGCCATACATTTCCTGATACCTTACGCCACATTTTTTTTTTTCAATTTTGTTGTCTTTAATTCACTTGGGGTCCTTGTAACAGGCAACCTTCTGATGCTCTGCCATCTAACAGCGAATGCTTTGCAACAAATTCTGTCGAAATGGCTGATGTAAGTGTTATGTTGATGCTCTATTATTTGTTTTGCACCACGGATGTGTTATATGTTGATGCTCTATGCTGATGTATTATTATTTCTGTTTTCAACAACTTGAATCCCATCAATCCCTTGTTATTTCTGTTTTCAACAACTTGAATCCCATCAATCCCTCCGGTCCAATGTATAAGGCATACTCTGACATGGCATGGTCTCCTAAATTACACTTTGACCATTCATTTATTTTATGTTGTATTGTTTATGATTATTGGATAGCACATTTGATTACAAGTCTAATATTATCAAGTTTGTATTACAATAGTTAAATTTGTTGGCCAAATTATTGGTAAAAAATTATAAAGTTGGATTCTTGACATTCGTGAAATGCCTTATCTGGACTGGAGGAAGTATCAGTGAAGACAAAATTCCTATACCATCCATATTCACTGTTGATATCAAAAAAACTAGCAGCATGTCTTTATGAAATGTTGAATGCACGTTCTGATTGTAGTAGTATTGTCAACTATATTATCTCCTTGATATAATCTATATCATTTTATCGGATTATTTATCTGTGTAGACTAATTCTGTTCTCTGTGTAGACTATTACTGTTCTATCTGCTTCCTCATTTTCCGCAAGTACTATCGATCTTTTCTAGTTGAGTCATTGAGTGGGTTGTTAGGCATAGCCTGTAAGGATTCATTTTTTTTTTGAAGGGAACTAGAAAGACGCTAATACTGCGAGAGATTCCTGAAGGTGATGTGAGATTGTTGCTTTCTGACAAGGAATCATTGGCGCCGTGTGATGTAGCAATATTTGTTTACGATAGGTACACACTCCTCTAGACTATTCTTTTATTTATTCATAATCTGCAAGTCTCACAATAAAGGTTATAGTGACTGATTGTTCTCCCTATTTGTGTATCAGTTAATTTAATTGACAAAACCTTCAACATAAGTTAATCACATACATTTTCTTCCAATTTCATGTTTGTGCTAACCTGATATAAACCATTTGTGTTTAAATGTGTTAAACAAGGTTTAGTTTCGTTACTTCAGTGTCTGCTTCTGCACCTTTTCTGTCTGGTGGCTTATTTCATGGTATTGGGCTGAGATTGTGTGTTTCATGACCCAGCTTGAAAGCTGAAGTTTTCTTTCAGTTTGTCACTATCTCGACAAAGTTACTTGACTTAGGCACTTAAGCAACATCTTTCTATCCATACCAATTTAGTGTTTCAAGTGGATTCTCAGTCGAACTGACCTTTTTTTGACCCCTAGTTATAGTTAAATCCCTGGTTATGTGAGCCACACTTCTGACAGTAGGTGATGGAGATCACAATTGACAAGCATTGAAACTCTTTTCACAGTAATTATTGTTGCTCTTGTAGTCTATTGTAGAATGAAACACACAACCTGGAAGAGCTTCTAGGAGGTTGACAAGTAAATCTTGTTTATACTGTTATATCTTCTGGATCGACATAAATGTACTCACTATGCATGTATCACAAAATATCCTCTGAACCTGTTGTATTGGCAGCTGCGATGAATATTCTTGGCAGAGGGCTAGAGACTTGCTTGTGCAAGTGGCTACACATGGAGAAAATACTGGCTATGAAGTTCCTTGCTTGATAGTTGCTGCGAAAGACGATCTTGACCAATCTTCACAAGCTCTACAAGAATCAACTAGAGTAAGTTTTTTAGCATTTAATTGTGTAGGCATAGTGGAACCAAGATAAGATATCAGGATGAGTTTCCAATCAAATTTATTCATACGTTGTTGCTGTATTACCTCATAATTTTGTCCCAGGTTTTGTGACTCCAAGTGTTCTCATAGGCTGTCTTGCCAAAAAGATCATATGAATTGTAGAAAAACGAAACAAAATTAAAACTAAAATTGGATAAGGTATGTGCTAGTTCAATCCTGCGGCTGCCATTGGGTAGTATGAAGAAGTGGAGAGAAGTGCAGAACAGCTTATTGGTTGAAATGTTTCGCTAACAGTATTTGTATTTGTTGAATGATTTCTTTAGTAAGGTTGTTTTCTGTCGTTTTATAAAAGCTAGTTTATGAAGGGATGCTAGGTTGGTCAATGAGTCTGCTTATAGTCCATCATAGAAGCACAGGTTTGTACGCAACCCACTTAGAATGCGGGTTTGCAGACCAACCCTCTTAAAATGGCATATATCTGGATACATATACATGGACCAACCCACTTGCATCCCTAAATTAATCTCTTACTACACTGGTGCAAATACTATGCAAAAGGTGCTTCACTTTTCTGTTGTCCATGCTTCTTTGTAGTATCAGTAGATAACTTACTATTTGTTGACAATCGTGAATTATTGTAACCATAGAATGAAAGTCCTCTTATTTATTTGCTAGAAGAAGTAACTGTGAAAACATCTACTTTCCAGGTGAGCCAAGACATGGGAATTGAAACACCAATTCCGATCAGCGTGAAGCTGAGAGATTTGAACAACATTTTCTGCAGAATAGTACATGCTGCGCAGCAGCCCCATCTGAGCATTCCAGAGACTGAAGCTGGAAAAACACGCCGGCAATATCGGCAACTTCTAAACCGTTCGCTAATGGTTGTCTCTGGTGAGTTGCTTGCACCCTTGTGTTTTGTTAATGGTTGAATTAACATCATACTGAACATTGAACTATGAGACTACAGGTGCAATCGATTAGAAATCTACCTGTCTGCTGATGCTATATATAGTTTCCTAAATATTCAGTCAATGTGAAAGTTGTATGAGGTCTGACTTATGCTGATACTGCACTAATAATTTGCAGTTGGAGCTGCTGTTGCAGTTGTTGGATTAGCTGCTTACCGGGTTTATGCAGCTCGGAAGAACTCGTCCTCTTGAAGCCCTCCTGGACAAGTGGGGAAATAAGGTGCTTACTTCCTGCAGATCACTTTGCAACATCAGCTGGATCCATGCTGGTTGAGGTTCGCCACTTGGGCTTTTACCCGGCAGGAAACCAACGTTTTTGTACAGACATGTCATCAGCTATAAATTGTTCGGCCTTTTGGGGTTTCAGATTCTATATAATTAACAGACATCACCTGGCTCCATAAAATGCCGTATCTGATAATCTGTTGTGGCTAAATTAGCTAAGCTAAATATTGTTACTACCCTAATTTTTTTTGCTCTCGTGGTACTTGCTCTAGTCTGGTATTGGAATTTCTTTTCGTTATCATTAGCAAACATGCTGAGACATTTAGTTGAACAAGCATGAGTTGGTGTTGTACCAAGATTTCTTTTGGGAGTATTCAATTGAATTTTTTTAAGTGTAGTATTCTATTGGATTTGATCGAAGTGCATGCTAGCTCGCCAGTTCCTTTCGTGTTGTGTCCTTGTATATACGCTGCCACTGAACTGCTTTCGTGTTGTCGTTATGTACACCGCCACTGAGGCCTTGTGGATACAGTTATGTTCGTATTTGTATGGATGTAGTGGTATATGGATATGGATAGAGTTATATACCATGCAGTCACTACTGCTTTGCGGTAGCCGATATAGGACAACAAAATATACTCCTTCCCGTTCGCAAATAATTGTTGTTATTAGCACGGTCTTTAAAACACAGCTCGATCACTATTTTGAACTAAATATAAAAAAGTTTATCCTAACAAATTTATGTTTATTTATTATATATATGAATAAGAATATATACAAATGGTTACGTTACAAATATAAATGCTCCTAATTTATTTTTGTAATAAAAAACAAAAGCATTTGTAAAACAGGTGGAGTAGCTAGGTCTGGTGCTGACGGTTCTCGGAGAATAATAATCAAATCACGATTCACAGAAACTTACATCATCGATGGGAACAACTGGATATGGCCAAACTACACGATCTGAGCATGGCATGGGGCACGGCACGTACTCACACGACAAAACCGGTCAGCGCCATGCCATATGCTCAGATCGGCATACAATACAGCTCCATGACACACAGTGGCGAGAGAGAATCCAGGGAGACATGGAGGCACCGGCCGGTCGCTGGCTGAGATGGTTCGAATGGTGTACTTCAAAAAGAGATGGATCGGAGGAGACGCACGCAGTGTCGCAGTAACAGACAGCAGGAGCATCCATGAAGGCGGCCATCAGGCGAAGTGCAAGGGGCCAATCTCGCCGGTCCGGGCGGCGCGGGCGACGGCGGCGGCGGCGGAGATGCACGCCGACACCCAGGCCTCGAGCACCGAGAACACCATGTCGACGACAGACACGGTTAGCGCCAATGGCATTGACATCCTGCCCGCCCTGCCGGTGCTGGACCCTGGCAGCTAGCGCAGCTCGTTTACGTGCCCCGGGAGGCAACCGATGGCCGGAAACACCTGCCGCTAGTTGCCGTGCATGGACCAACAAGGTAATGGTGGGCCGGGGGCGGGGGAGCTCACGAGTTTCGCGAGGGTGGACGGATGGGTGGCTTGGGAAAAAGATCGTCCGGCGAGGCACGTCATGGCAGTCGCTATGCTGGATGATCCCCGATGCAACGGTATTTATTGAAGAAAAAACGAGATCACCGCATATATTAAATTCATGTATATCACCAAGTCATTAGTGTTGTCATGTGCTTCTTTCTTGCAAAAAAAATAAAATAAATAAAAAATACAATTCTCGACTCTCGAGAAGTTAATATTGAGATGGTTTAACAATATATATATATATATATATATATATTGTGTGTGTGTGTGTGTAATTGTTGTCATTTCAAAGTAACTCATAATTCTTTAATCTGTATGTAAAACAAAAAAGAATTTTCTGGGTTATGTGGATATACAATAGGACATGACCCATAGTTCTAAATTTTAGTTTACAGGCTGCTTTTCGCGAAACAATATCTTTTTCTCAACTCCCTCTCTTTCCTCCACGTGTCATTAAAAAATCTATATTGCACTGCATGAGGCCGTAATACTAATACATCATACTTGTTGTTGGTTTCATAAACCGGGACCCTCGCGGACCGGCTTCCCAACAAAGATTTGGCTTAGCAGGCAACGTTGCAAACAACGTGCAACTCGTGGGCCGGCCCAAGTACCTGAACAACAGGCCAGAAGGGCGATCCAATCACCGACCGAAAGGCCTGGCCGAGGAGGAACGACGCCCGTTTCCGACTCTGGCCCACCTCTCCGACCGGAGCACTTGCTTCGATCTCCAGCCCACCTCCGGACGACCTCTCCGACCGGAAGGCCTGGCCAAAGCACTACTTCCAACTCCGATCCGCGTCTCCGACCGGGGATGCGCCAAAACCCTGCGCACCACTCTTCTCCGACTGGCGCGATCAGAGCCGACTGGGACTAACCGACTGGGAACGCCCGCTCGGTAAGGACCAGGGAACGGACGAAGAAAGTAGGCAAGGCGCACAAGTCAAACTAAAATACTGGGGTCCGTACCCTATACACTTGCAGAAACAGTATTATGCAACCTCCCTGGCACAACAAAGCCCAAGCAGTGTTGTAGGCGCCGATATTTTTCCCTACAGTATTGTGGGCGCCATTAACTCACATACGGTAAGGCCCCCCACGTGCCTCTGGGCATCGACAGTGTTGTGGGCGCCAGCCTTTACCGTACCAGGCGAACATGATAAAACCCCTTACGAACCTCCAGGTATCAACAGTGTGGCGGACGCCGACGTCTGCCATACCCGAAGAAAACAATACAACCTCCCACGTGCATCTGACATCCAATAGTATTGTGGGCGCCTACCATCATCCTGTACCCGGCGGCGTGGGCAACAAAGCTTAGAAGCATACGTACTCTCTCCCTCTCACTTGTAAGGCCATCTCCTTCATCTATAAAAGGGGATGCGCTCTCTCCCAAAAAACTCAGTTCATCCAAGTTCATTAAGTCGATTTAGATCGATTAAGTTCACTAGTTCACAATCACAGAACCGTCAGGTTCGAACCACAAGCACACGCTTGAACACTTAGCTCATAGCAGGGCTCCCGTCACTCTCGGCCCTTCCGACCGGAGTCCGACCGGACCTCTTGTACCCTCCATCTTCCTTCTTCTCGTTTGTAACCCCACTGCAAACTTCGAACACATGGGCTCAGGAATAAAGTCACCGACCGACTCAAACTGGACGTAGGGCACGTTGTCTGAACCAGTATAAAGCCTGTGTCATTGAGTGGTAGGCCACCTCCGATCACAACGTACGACAAAACTTCAAATATTTACTTGTTGGTCACTTTCTGCACCGACACTTGCCCTAAGTATAGAGTTTGTTTCAAATTATATTTCACTTCAGTTTTGTGGTAAGCCAAATTTCTTTAATTGTAACGAAATCTATAGAAAAAAATCCACAAATATCCACGACATTGGATTAGGTTTTTTTGTGAAATATGTTTTGAAAAGAGCACTTATTTTGGTTTATAGGTGTTAGTATAATTTCTAAAAATATATGATCAAAATTAAAGAAATTTAGTTCGAAAAATAAAAAAAATGAGCAATAAAATTGGAATGGAAGGAGTGGGCTAACGTCATATATTTTATTGCCTGTCCGCTTGAACTTATCATTCTGACTGCTCGGGAGGCCGACGTATCGTGGATTATTTATTATTGCATTTATTTGGTGTGAGAGAAAAACACATTCTACAATTTATTTTCTCAAGCAACAAATCAATTTATCCGCCATGGTACAATATTTTTCTCTCACAACAAATCAGCGAACAATACTTTTCAGCTTTGACTTTTTAGCGAAACAAACAGTTAACACCTGACGGAGATGGACAGTGCATGAGGCCATTAGATGCACAGTTGCAAGAAAGCATGCTTGCTTCTCTAGATAGCTGTCTAGCGGACTGTTTATATCCCTACAAAAATGGTAGAATTCTCGTAGTGTTTGTAAATAGTAGTAAAACCCTACCACTAGTCATAGCGTATGAAAATTCTCACTATGATGTATTTGGTAGGAAAAATTTATACTAAATTTTGAACACTAAAATATTAGAAGAATCTCACTGGGACACCTCACTAGGAGAAGTAAAAGATTCTGGTCGTGTATATTAACAAAGTACGCATAATAAACCTTTATTTAGTGTTTTCTAGATAAAGGGAGGCAGGAGCCTAATAGGCCGTTGGAAGAGTTATGTTTGGCTCACGGCTGCAGGGCACCAGACCTGAATTGTGACACGACGCGTCTCCATTTGATCTCTGTGCGTATTCCTGCGCCGATTTTATGCGGCGCGACCGAACGCGCGGCAGGAGCCAATCAAGGACAGAGAGGCCGGTAGGCTGACTTTGACGTGCGCCACATCCAAATCATGCATGATCCATCCATCCAGCAGACGTGACGAAGAACAAAATAAATCCACAATTGCTATTTACCTTCGCTCGACTGATAAGTCATAGCTGAAAATAGAGCTGGCTAATTTGTTATGAGAAAAATACACCTCCGCCATAATAAATGAAAGTAGTAGTTAATTAATTTGTTATGAAAAATACAACCCCAACCCCCCTCATTAATTGCTCCTCCAACCCATCAGAACCAGAATATTAATCTGAGATCCATGATTGATCGAAAAAAAAATCTGCGCCATTTATCGATCCAATCCAGCTGCTCCTGTCTCTTGACGTGATGGAGGTCCAGGTGGATTTTATGACTCTGCTGCCGGCCCGGCCCCCACTACATTCGGTAACCCGGGAGGTTAAACGGTCGGTGCCGTGCCGGTAAACCCAAACCGGGCTGCCACTACGGCCCATGCACGACATGCGTCACCAGGCCGTGCCGGTACGGGTCTGATGCTAGACGGGCCACGCCAACGTTACGGGCTTGGGCAGCCTTTCTAAAAAAAAATATGTCCGTCTATAATCCAGCACGTTATTGCTTTTCTAAATACGTTGTTTTTATTATTATATATATCTAAAAAATAGTGTAATTCTAAAATAAGTACATAACTAAATTACGTATTTTAAAAAGTCAAAACGTCTTATGATTTAAAATGAAGGGAGTAAATAGTATTAGTCTTTCTAGTATCCGGTTGTTTGAAATTTGGTAGGCATAGGTCATAAACCTTATTTGGCATTTGGTATTTAGTTTCATCAAGATTTAAACAGTTGTGCATCTATTTCTTTCCATATATATGCGGGAACAAGGCTGTTGCCCTCAACGGATCTGAATGGTGACATCTTTTCCCAAGATGGAGTCCGATTTTGAGAATGTTGGCCTATAAAAGGTAGAATTTGGTCAATATGACACCACGGTCTAGAAATAGCCAGGTATTTAGCTCTAATATAATAATCTTGGACACAATAGAGTCGGAGTCATTGATAAGGCACATAGCAGTGTTTATAAGCATATTTTTGTTGACTAGATCCGACTCGAGAGTCTAGACCACCTTCCATTTTCGCTTGCAAATGGAATCCCAAGAACCTTGTGTATGGGCTTTTTTTGCTTGTTTTTTTGGATACCTTTCCACTAGTGGTACGAATGGTCAATGTAATTTTTGCTAGAAATTCCCAGTTAAAAAATTGTAATTAGCCATACAGGAGTAATATAGATAGGAACGGAAGGAAATACAGATAAGTGTAAGCTCGTTAGCATGATTGAAAGTATTAGATTTTTGTACGTGTAAAGCATCGATTTGCATTTTTTATAAATGAAATTGTCAGCCTTACTTTTGTCTCAGCAAACATTGCCATGCACATTTCATGAGTAAAGGGCAACCTAGCTGTTGAGTCCCGACACAACATAAAAAAGTGGATAATATAATGAACTATTTGCGCACGCTAAAGACCAGCTTTTCTATAAACGGTTAAGTCATCAACAAAGGGCATGTTCGCTTGAACTTATCAGCCAGCTTATCAGCTAGAATCTACAGTATTTTTCTCTCACAACAAATCAGCTTTAGCCGACTTATCAACTAGTTTTAATACCAGCCGAACATACTAGAAAGGTTCGGAGAACATCCGAGCCAAAAGTAACCCATACGGCAGTTGTCGTGTCCATAGCTTCCTGTAGCCTTGGAGATAACTCATTAATAACAACAACAAAAAACTACGACGAAAGCGGACACCATTGCTTGATTCCTCTAGAAGTCTGAATATGCCCATAGGATTGATTCCCCATTGACATTAACTGAAAGTGACGTAGCGAAAATACATGCATGCACTAACTTTTATGAAATGACCATAGTACCCTTTACATGACAAAACATTGAGCTCAAATGATCACTCTTTCCTATCTAAAGCTTTAGCCATCTCAATTTTTTTTTTTTACCATGAAAGCTTTCTAGCAAGCTTGCACTCACATGTTGGACTACATCGATTGAGTTTCTTATTCTTAACCCCCCTAACATGTTGGACTGCATCAAGTGAGTTTCTTAAACCCCCTAATATGAGATTCATCGGAGTACAACGAGTAGCTTTTTACATAGGTGCATGGCCTTGGATCAAACATCACACTCACATGTTGGACTACATCAAGTGAGTTTCTTAAACCCCCTAACTGCATTGAGATTGTTTGAATTCCTAATACGGCCCGTGGTGTTTCATTGATGCCTAAGAAGACCCATGCTAACCATGTAACAAATTACATAACCATTAATTAGTATGACAAATGTAGCTTCCGTCTCATTGCAAAATTTATAGAGAAATATGCTCAAACAAGAGCTTACTTATTACATTCATCACTCTAAACATACTTTCGTCCATGAAAAAAACACAAACAACACGACGATTGTGCAAGAAATTATCTTCAAGTTTTATTAGGTCTCATTTGAAATGTGATTTTTTGTTGTTGTGTTTTTCTATAAAATAAATTAATTACTAAGAGTATAAAATTTTTATGTGGTTACTGTGAAATTTCTTACGTTTCAAATGAACCTCGACCCGAAGTGTACTCCGATGGCTTCAACTAGCGGCGGCATCGACCGTCCGACGACGGCGCATATCCGACTGCCGAGGCACATACCCCGATACCCGTCCAGGTCCGAGGTCTGCGGCGCAGCCCCCGCATGCTGCAGTCGTGCAGACCCGCTTCGCGCGATGCCGCAACGCGCCACCCGCGAACTGCCACGCGGCGGTCCACGTCCCGCCACGCACAATCCGCAGGCGCTGCATCTGTCGCCGGTCTCGGGCTTCCGGTGGGTGATGCCCATGGCGTCCGCCGCTCCCACCTCCGACATCTCCGCAGCAGGATTGTGTCGCGCCCACAACGAGGTCGCACCGCCGCTCCCGCTGACTGCTGGGCCAGGGGGTGGACCAGATCCCCTTCTAGGTCCACGCGTCATTTTACCCACCCATGCGGACGTGGATGTGGATGTGGATGTGGACGTGGTGGACGACGGCTGGACGCCTTTTCCACAGAAAACCAGCCCGCCGGCCCGGCGGGGAGGAATCCGGAAGCCCCCGCTCCTCACGCACGCTCCTCGCCATCTTTAGCCTGGGCCCCACCTCCCGTGCCGTGGCCATTAAAGCGGGACCGACCGGGCGCTCCCTGCCTCCTCCGTCTCGTCGCTCCCAGCGCTCCGTTCCGTTCCATTCCACCGACCAGATCCACCCCTCCCAAGCCAGCCATGCCGGCGCCGGCGCCGGCGCCGCCTCCGTCGCCGCTGCTGCCGCCTGCGGGGGAGCCGTTCCGCGTGTTCGTGGGGTACGACCCGCGTGAGCACGAGGCGTACGAGGTGTGCCGCCGCAGCCTGCTCCGGCGCTCGTCGATCCCGCTGGACGTGCGCCCGATCCGGCAGGCGGAGCTCCGCGCCGCGGGGCTCTACACCCGGGCGCGCGGCCCCACGGAGAGCACCGAGTTCTCCTTCACGCGCTTCCTCACCCCGTACCTCGCGGGCTACCGCGGCTGGGCGCTCTTCGTCGACTGCGACTTCCTCTACCTCGCCGACCTCGCCGAACTCCTCGCCGCCGCCGTCCCGCCCGGCTCTGCCGACGCCGCCGACCGCATCGCCGTCGCCTGCGTCAAGCACGAGTACCAGCCCGCCGAGGCCACCAAGATGGACGGCGCCATCCAGACGGTGTACCCGCGCAAGAACTGGTCCTCCATGGTGCTCTACAACTGCGCCCACCCCAAGAACGTGGCCGCGCTCACCCCGGAGGCCGTCAGCACCCAGACCGGCGCCTTCCTCCACCGCTTCGCCTGGCTCGACGGCGACGAGATCGGGGAGGTGCCATTCGCCTGGAACTTCCTCGTCGGCCACAACCGGGTCAACCCCGCCGACCCGGCCACGCGCCCCAGGGCCATCCACTACACCTCCGGCGGGCCGTGGTTCGAGCGCTACAGGGACTGCGAGTTCGCCGACCTCTGGCTCAAGGAGGCCGAGGAGCTCAGGGCCGAGAAGGACAAGCTCAAGCTCCTCAAGGACAGGGACGACGCCGACGTCAAGCAAGAGGAGGAGGCGGCGCAGGAGAAGGGGAAGTGATGATGATGATTCATCGATCGATCGGTGATACTGCATTGGATGGATTGGTTCGTTCTGTGCTATGCTCCAGAGATTTCATCTCTTCTTCTCGTCGACAATGTATTCATTCATCTGACGCACCTAGTATTCCATCGATCTGTTACTGCTGATGTCTGAGAGATTAGATTGATGGTAGGCTTGTATGGATAAGTTGGATTAATAATGTAATGATAAGAAGAAAATTGGTAGTTGCAATCGGTGGGTCTGTGGATTCTGAATGCTCATCGTTTAAGGAATACCAACCGTTGCGCCGGTGAGGTTTCTCATCACATCGCCCCTTCCCCTGAAACAGACACTGGGGTGGCGTCTCTGTAATCCAGCCGTGCAGAGAATGCGACTTCTTCCAGCCTCCGATCCTGCATTGCAGGAACAAGGACGATGTGCTGTCCCATTTTTTGCTAGACATTGTGCATTTTCAGTCAGGGAGATGGCCAGATGGGATCTTGGCGTTGAACGTTTCATGTGCTGCACATTACTTACGCCACTTACTACATGATTTGGTAACCCAGTTCAACATGCCTGTTCGCTTTGCATGAACTTATCAAATAAAAACTAATTGCACAGTTTGGTGGGAAATTACGATACGAACGTTTTGAGCCTAATTAGTCCATGTTTAAACACTATTTGCCAAATAAAAACGAATGTGCTACAGTAACCCCAAAATCCAAATTCACCCAACTAAACAAGGGCTTACTACATTTGGTAACCCGGGCTAGTTACGGTAACGCTTAGCTAAAGAGGCCTCTTGCTTGAACATAGGGCTGGATAAGTCGGCTTTAATACCAGTCGAACAGGCCCCGGGAACGTTGCCTGAAGAGGCCTCTTGCCTGAACATAGAGCTATGTATGTTGGAATGTCATCAGTTCGGCCAATATGTTGGAATGTCATCAGTTCGGCCAATCCCAATCTTAATTACGAGATTAATTAAACGTTAAGTTTTTTTTCCACTCACTCGTTATTAATATCTAACTAAATAAGAACTGCGATCGGCGGCAACCCTTAGAATTCTAAGGGTTCCCCCTAACCCACAGCATGATTATAAATAAGAAAAGCGCCATTAGCGTCATTACTCTCTCTAATCCATGTGACTATTCACATAACCGGTCAATTAGGCGCTGGAGAGTCTAGGAAGGTTGGCTACCCACATCCACTTACTGTTGCAGATCTACATCGCGTTCTTCACCAACTAGCATCAAGCCCCAAATCTGGTGAAGACTAAGATTTACTTCATCTACATCAACTTCTACATCAAGCACAGAGGCATAGATGACATATACGGACTCTGGTTAGTCGATAAGATATATTCCGCATAAGTTTGTCAGTGATCATGCTTAGGCTAAGATCACTATCCTGTTATGACTAAGATTAATTTCAACACTGTACAGTAATCTGCAGAGATCTTTCGGTCTTTTTTTTTTGTCTGAACTATTATTATTAACCGAGCCTCGTCGGCAGAACGGCAGATGCATCTGTGTTCTGTGTAGGACCGCTGTCTGTCTCTGTAGGACCTGATGCCTGTCGGTGCGTGGAGACGATGCAAGTCTCTCTCAGGAGTCAGAGTCAGGACAGCACTGTGTATTCGAGTCGGTGCACTGGAAAACGATAAAAGTCTCTCTCAAAACAGCACTGTGTATTCGACTCGGGCCTTGCCATCTGATGCGGCCAGAATCGTCTTCACCGTAGGGCGTAGGACCGATCCTCCAATGTTGGTGACTCGGCTTGTGATGATGCGGACAGTGTTGGGCCGTTGTCTTTTGTAAGAAGTAGTAGGTTTAGATGAATTTTTGATAAATGATAAAATTGTAGGGTTTACTTTTGTCTCAGAAAGGGCCAGCACACTTGATGAGTAAAGGGTGACTTACCTGCATACTGTATAGTGTCAAGCATTGAAATCATCCTACTATATAGATAGAGAAAACATGATACTCCGTTCTTGATATGACAGTTGAGCTCACCTTTTTGCCGAAGAGGATCGAGGATTTGGCCTAATTGGGGTCTTTTTTTTCTCTCTCTAATCCCATCAACCGGGGTCTTGCTGACATCACACAAAGAATGGATGATATGATGAATTAATTGCACCTGGTAAAATTCAGCTTCCTTAAGCAAATGATTAATTCATCATCACAAAAAACGATAGAATTAATTGGAGAATAGCCAGGTCAAAAATAACCCTACGAGAGGCTAAGAGGTGTCGCTTCCATAGCTTCGCGTAGACTTGGAGGGTACTCATTAATAGCAAGGACTAAAAAGGTATGGCGAAAATGGACACCCTTTGTCTGATTCTTTGGAAGCCTGAATATACCTATAGGATTGATTTCTCGTCGATTTTAACTGAAAAATGACGTAAGGAGATGCATGCATACACTAACTTTATGAAATGGCCATAATACCCTTTACGTCGCAACTCGCAAAGCATCAATCACAATGGGCCAATCTATTGTATCAAAAGCTTTAACCAACTTCAATTCTTACCATGAAAGCTTTTTTTTTGTTTAAGAGTGTGTTTGGTTGTAGACCAGAAAAGCTTGACCAAATTTGTCTATGGCCAAAGTTAGGGTTGGGCAGACCACCCTTTCCATTGCTGCCCCTCGCCTGGCCCTGGCCACGGCTAGATCCGGTGGCTTGTCAACCTCCCAGTCCCTTTACCCCCAAAGTTGTTCATTTTCTTGCCCTTCTCAAGGCCACCAACATCGAAAAAGATAAAGAAGGACCCGACCTCGTTGGCGGCTATCTGGTTGTCTAAGGCTACACTCTAGCTTGCCACCGGACTCCATGACATGTTACTCCACCCCTCTGGAGCCTCCTTCAGACGATCACCCCTCCCCCGGGCTCTCACCTCCGGCCAAGATTTGCCTCCCACTGAGCTCCCCTCTCAGTTGAGCATCATTCTCCAAGCCAAGCTTCTCACCGGCCGAGCACCGTCCTCCGAGCTCCCTCACCAGCCGGACAAGTCACAACCACCAATCTACCAATCAACAAGACAACAACCTCACCACACCAAGATCAAGGTTTGATTCTCGACTTCAACTTTCTATCCGTTCATGGTTCGAGCCATGGTTTGAGCGCTACAGGGACTGCGAGTTCGTCGACCTTTGTCTCAAGGAGACCGAGGAGCTCAGGGCCGACAAAGCTACAAGGATGACACCGACATCAAACAAGAGGAGGCGGTGCAGGAGAAGGGGAAGTGATCATGTATCGGTGATACTGCATTGGATGGATTGCTTCGTTCTGTGCTATTCTATAGGTAGATTGATTTCATTCCTTCTTGTCCTCAACGATCTATTCATTCATCTGACGCGCCAATGTAGTATTCCATCGATTTGTTGCTGCTGATATCTGAGAGATTAGGATGATGGTTGCCTATGTATGATTAAGCTAGAGCAATAATGATAAGAAGAAAGCTGGTACGTGCAATCGGTGGGTCTGTCGATTCTAAATGCTCATTGTTTAACGAATACCAACCGTATCTTCTTCAGCGTCGCGCCGGTGAGGTTTCTCATCACATCGCCTGTGGCGTGTCTGTAATCCAGCCATGCAGAGAATGCGACTTCTTCCTGCCTCCAATCCTGCATTGCCGGAACAACGACGATGTGCTGCCCTATTTTTTGCTAGACATTGTCCATTTTCACTCAGGGAGATGGGATCTTTGTGAGATCATTGAACGTGAACATTTCTTCATGTGCTTCACGTGTTGCCGCATTTGGTAACCTGGGGACGTTGCACGACAATACTATGTACAGTGATCTACAGAGAACCTCGTCGGCAGAACGGCAACTCAGTTTTACCAGTGAAGCATTTTTTCCCAATTCCATAAAACAGTTTCACTAGCGAAGCTAAAGCTATTTTCAAATAACTTTTGGTAGAACAACTTTTCAAGGAAGATAACAGAGAGCTAGAAAAAACTAGTATTGCATGGCTAAGCTGGCTTATAATGGCAGCCATTATAAGCCAACTTATAAGCCGGCTTATCAGCCATGGTACAATATTTTTCTCTCCCAATAAATCAGCCGTACAAATCAGCAAAGCGGACTTATAGACCAGCCGAACATAGCTGTGCACGTAAGAGAAGCTGAAAAAACTGTGCACGTAAGAGAAGCTGAAAAACAACTTTCAGGAATAAGTTGTTTCATCCAGGCCTGCTTGGTAGGAGAAGTAAAAAATAGTTTCGTGACGTTGTGGCAAAAGTCCTACCAAACGGGACTGTAAGTATATAAATTGAAAGCATTCCTGTAATCCATACAGCGATATACCCTGGACGGACAAGCATTTTGACCATTCGTTTATATAGACCCTGCTTCTGAATATTTATTTACCTGCTCATTCCATTGAGATCTCTTCCCTCATCTCATGGATCTTTTTTTCAGTCACGTGCGCACCTTGACATGATATTAGAGGTGTTTAGATCTCACCTAACAGTCCAGTCTCTCAATCCAGCTAATAGCAACAGCTAGTAGATTGAAAAAGGAAATTTTATCATGTTAGCTAATCTACTGCTACCTTATGTGAACACAATAAGGGAAGGCGGCGCCGAAAGGCCCCTTGCTGTGATACTGTAGCCGCTGTAGGTGCAGGCACCGCATGGCTCACCTGCAGCACTATAGACATATGCAATGGCCAGCATAGAGTTAGCCCTGTATGTTATCTAGTTACTGTTACAGCATGTGCGTTGTACTGGGACTAGATGGATATAGTTGTATAAATAGACTACAATGACAACTCAGTAAAGAGAGTTCAGATTTGTCATCTCTCAGACAGGGCTTCGACCAACGCTGGTGTCTTGTACTGTGTGTGCATGCTCTATTCTTCCTTCTTCTTCTAGCTCTAGCCATAGTGTATGGGAACGAACAACGCTTGTTCGTGGTCGGCACGGCTAGTGGGTGCTCGGCAACACTAGCGGGTGCTCGACAAGACTGGTGAGTGGTTCACTCACCTGAGCCGGTGATCCTGTGGGTCAACAAGTG